TTCCCCCCCCCCCCCCACTCAGAACCCTCCAAAGCAAAACAGCTCTTGGGCTCCCGGCAGCCTTCCTGTGCCAGAAAGCGGAGCCCAGCGGAAATTAATATCGCGCTGGACTTAGGCAGCCCACCCCACGCCTCGTCGGCATGGACAGAAAGCTCCTGCGCTCTGCCGCCAGCCTTGCTGCCGCCTGGACCATGGGTGGGGACCCCCCGGTGCCGGTGAGCCGCCCATCACCCCCAGACCCGCGGGGCTGAGCTCTTCTTCCCGGCCTGATCCAGCGGGCCGGGGTGAGCCACAGTTCAGTATTTGATCTGACGGCCCCGGGGGGCTGGCGCATCGTTTTTATTTGAGTACAAAGAGTCATCTCTTAATGAAAGTCCCATCCCGGCTCCCCCTCTTCCCCACTCCACCGGCGGAGGCGGCCAAACCTCCGCCATCCGGCTGTAGATGTTGGGAGCCCGTGGTCACAAAGGACAGCAAGCTTGGAGACCAACATGGAGGTTTGGATCCCTGTGTGGTCATCATGGGATGGGACTGGACAGATTTTCTGGTCACTTTCCACATGGGCCTCACTTTCCCCATCTGTGGAGGACCTGTGCCAGGCAAGCTCCACGATGCTTCCCTAGCTGCCCCATCCTTTTGCAGAGGGCCATGTGAATCATGCAGCAAAGGGAAACAGAGCTGCTGGGAGCAAAGGGAGATGGGTTCTCCCTGGCAGGAGCGTGGGCTTGCCTCAGTTTCCCTGCTAGAAGTTCCCTCTCCAGGCTATTCCTCTCTGTTGAGCTGTTCAACTTTTAAACCTCCAGCCAAAGCATAAGGGCTCCTTTTCCAGGCTGTGTGAGAGGGCATGTCCTCTCCAAGCCCAGCTGAGGTCTGGTGGGCAGGAGATCCAGGCAGCTGGGGAGCCTGACATGAGGCAGGGGGATCCTGGCAGGGCCTTGAGCTTCAAAGGGCTTGGAGGGGGTTTGCACTGGGGACAGGATTGCAAGCAGAGTACTGCAGCCTGGTGTCCCAAACACAGCCCCCCAGCTGCTCAAGAGTGAAAAGGAAACCCAGAACACAGTTAAACACTGAGATTCAGCTTGTGATTTTTGAGCCCCTGGGGCTTGGCCAGACAATAAAGCTCTGGGTTTGGAAGCTGCGCAGCTGATGCTCTCCAGTGAGTGGGGCTGCAGGCAGCACAGGGCCGCCCAAGCACTGCTCCCCAGGGAATCCCAGGGAATGTAGCCTCCCAGTCATCAGGCATGTCCTGCTCCTGGGGTATGCTGGCTCCAGCCCTGAGGTTCTGTGGGCACCTATGGCCACGAAAATCATGTTGTTGAGCAGTATGGGCTCTGAGCCCACAGGAGCAGTGCTGGAGGCAAGGGTGGGCTGAATTTAGGGTGTGCTAAATTCGTGTGGCCCATGGTTCCAGAGTTGCCCACGGCAGAGCTGGAGCATCACCCACGCCAGCACGAGGCAGGGTGCTGGCAGGCTGCACAGCTGCACGAGCTGTGCCGTGGAGGGCACTCCAGGCAAAATGTGTGGGGAAAAGTACAGGAGTTTCTGTAGCCGATGGCACACCGGGGAGCACAGCACTGTGCTCAGACTTTGCCTTCAGGGCCAGAGAGGCAGGCACCTCACTCCAGCTGGGCTGGCAAGGAGGAGCTGCCTCTCACGTGGGCCCAGCCAAGACTTGCCCTCCCTCACTGGCATTGGCAAAGCTGGCGATGCCACCTGCATCCCTCCCTTGCACTCCCGCACCCGCCTGCGGCTCCATTCCCTGGAGTCAGTGCCTGGATTTGGGGAGGTGAGTACAGGATCCTGGCCAGCAGCCGAGGGGCTTTATCAGAGGCAAGGTCACTCATCTAGTCTCCCACAGGGTAAAGCAGCGAGCCCCCATGGAGAGGGGGAGACATACCAAGAATGCTGGCTGGGCTCCTCGTTGTGTCCACAGCTCTGTGAGACGCAGCTGCATCGGGCATCAGTCACATGGCAATGCCAGGGCTGGGTTAGGTCAATGCCAGCCCCAAAGAGCAGATGCTGAGTGGCACAATATTTCTGCCATCTCCTGTCAGGGACACCACCATCTCCCCCATGGATGTCCCCATGGATGTCTCCAAGGATGCAGAGTGGTATGTGCCAGCATCATCCTTTAGCCTGTCCCATGGCTGGAGATGCCCCCCATTCCCCAAATCTATGGACAGGGCAAGGTATTGCCTGGGTGACCCACCCATACCTATTGTCCTGCCCCCACTGCATACATCTCTCTGTCCCCCTGTCACCCGGGCTCAGCACGGAGCTGGCACTGCCCTGCAGCCTTGCTCCATCCCTTGGGGTAGGTCTGGTCATGTCCCATCCACACCCTGGTCTGTCCTGGGCTTGGGTGCTGGTTTTGCTCTGCTCGCTGTCCCCTCCTGCAGGGCAGTGGGGAGCCCCCTGGTCATGGACCCCAACAGCATCTGCCGCAAGACGAAGCGGCTGGCGGGGAAGCAGGCAGAGCTGTGCCAGCTGGAGCCAGAGATTGTGCAGGAGGTGGCCAAGGGCACCAAGCTGGGCGTCCGGGAGTGCCAGTACCAATTCCGCTTCCGCCGCTGGAACTGCACCAGCCACAGCAAGTACTTCGGCAAGATCCTGCAGCAGGGTAAGGCCAGTGCTTCCTCAGCTTCCCATTTCCCAAAGAGGCCCCAGCCTGGTCATGCGCCTCCCTGGGACTCCTCGAGCAGAGTCCTGGCATGCAAAG